CGGCCATTTTCCGCCTGTTCCACGTGGTCCACGGCCATTTTCCGCCTGTTCCACGTGGTCCACGGCCATTTTTCTGCCCATGCCACATGGTCCACGGCCATTTTCCGCCCGTTCCACGTGGTCCACGGCCATTTTTCCACCCATGCCACATGGTCTGCGGCCGTTTTTCCGCCCTGCTGCGTGGTCCGTGGCCGTTTTTCCACCCCTGACGCGTGGTCCGTGGACGCCGGAACGGATTAACGGTAATTAAATTGAACCTTATGGGGAAATTTATTTCGACTTGCGACCAACTTGACTTGCGATCAGAGTCACGGAACGGATTAAGTTCGTAAGTAGAGATACCACTGTAATTGTATTCATTGCCCCACTCACGGAACATATTCCTATTTTTCTGATGCTCCCTTCTCTTAACAATCAGGGATCTTTCCCGGACTTCCTGGGAGCGCCATGGCGAGCTGATGTCCTACTCGTTAGCAGAACAGCTTTGTGAGGAGAATTGCAGCTGGATGCTGGATCCAGACCGGCGAAATTTCTCCGGAAGAAGGAGAAATCATTGAGATTATCCACATGTTTCTGGACAACCACTACTTGCGAGTAGACTGCAGAAACTGCTGTTTTCCGGTTGGCTTATGAGTGGAGAGGCTGGGAGTTAGGATTTCATCAAGCTCACACTCTCAAAAAAACAGCCTTTTATGGACGTTAAGCTTGACCGAGCCTTATTTCTTAATCACTTTTTTGGATTTGGATTATTAAATTTTTTGTTTGTTTACTGAAGAGGTTAAGACCCTTTGGACTGGCAAGGTTTTACTGTATTCATGGGTGAGTTTTTCCTCCTTAGAGGATGATTTTAAAAGTTTTGAAAATCTATCATTTCTTGGACTATACAGCAAAAGGGTGCTTAGTATATGGATTTTGGAAAGTTAACAATGGATTAAGGAGCCAGAGCAATTTGGACTTATAGCTCTGAATTAATTAGAAGATATTTTCTCATGAGAAAATGGCGACTGTTGTAGCTTTTTTATGATAAGAATGTTTTGGCTGTTTTACAATGGAACATTGGCCCCTTGAACATTGGCCCCTT